TGTAGCGGAGTATCGTCAAACGCAATCAAGCTAGGCTCGGGACGTGTATTTACTGACTATTTTAATGAATATCGTAGACGTAAAACTACAATACAAATACAGAGAAAACGCTAGTTACGATACAAGCTATATTATAGAAACGATTACAAGCAAATACAACGAAAACGGAACTTACCGACTGTCCCACACAAAGGCGATACTCCAAGTACAAAATTTGTAGCGCAATTCGCAGTTCCACAAATATTGATATACAACACGAAGACGAGAGAAAACTAATACTAAGCGAATTTACATGAGCACAATTCTCGTGGGACAGTACAAAAAACTGATAATACAAAGAACTAGAATACACGCGGGAAAACTAAAATGACAACGGAACTAAAGCTAAAGCGGAAACGAACTACTAAACGGAAACGGAAATACTATTATAAACAAAACGTTTGCAATAACTTTACAATATATATTACATCATTTTATTAAAACTATTTATAAAACTATTTATAAATGACACACYCCTGATAATAATGATTATCGAATATGTCCATCACTCAGTTGGGTTAAACGGCAGCATTACCACGAAAGAAAGTCGAAACTGGATGCATAGTTGTGTGAATTTTTTTTAAATCTCGCTTCGAAACTTGATATAACAATTTTGGGGATTTATTAATATCTCCTAAACCCGAAAATAGAATATTGGGTTTCCTGTAGTGTAACCTTTGCTACTCGCAATTTAAATTTCAATAATTCGCATACTTCTTTGAAAGTCCGAGCTATTGTTTACTCTGTTACAATTGTAAAATTGGTAATCTTTTTGATGGAATCTTTTTTTCGCATTTCTAAGTTGAGTTACAAACGATTTAAAGAACAGATTAACTCAATATTTAACACTGAAAACTGTGAAAAATGTAAAACAAAGCACAGAATGATTGTAAGTTATGCTATTTTAAAAAAATAGAAGTTTTTAGTTGTAAATAATGTTTTGCAGTTTGTACTCTTTTGTAATCTAAATTCGTTAATTTGCTCTGATTTCAGAGGAGTAAACATGTATGCCATGTTGACTGGTAAACTTCCATACACCGCTGAACCTTTCAATATCATCACYCTGTACAATAAGATGGTAAAAGGGGACATGAATCCAATTCCTGACAGGATATCAGCAGGTTTGTGAACCTGCGAATTGTATTCCTACCATTATATTTTATCGTACTCTAGTCTCCGTTGTACGTGCTTYCCTATGCGCTTCCCGAAATACCAAGCCAAAACAGACTGTGAAACATACTGGCATGTTTTTATCTGCCCTAACTTGGTTCGTTGCTATATAATTTTGTTGTTTCGTGTTCACCAGTGTCCCATGCCTTTTTCCCAATTTCGCCGATGTACTTTCAGATCTTGAACACCTAGAAGGCGTTCTTTACATGCTGAGCCACTCAGTGGWACAGAGAATAAACCTGAGTAATCACGCTGAATTACTAGCGTTAATCCAACCATTWTATCATTTCAGGCTGTAAGGAGCTAATGCTGCAGTTTTTAACTTTCGATCCTAAAGAGCGCATATCGATCGAAGAAGCTATCCAGCATCCATGGCTTCGGAAAGGATTCGAGGATAGTCCCCTGGTGGACATTAATTTTCCAAGTTATATAAGGCCAGATGAAATGAATAATGATATTATCAATCACATGGTCGATAAAATGCAGTTTAAAACCAAAGATGTCATCGAAGGCGTCACTAATAACAAGTACGTGTGAATGGTTTATAACAAAAGCAAATAACAAACACTTTAGRTGGTATTGATGAAGGAAAAGGTCTGGTTTGAATTTTCCAGACAATCTTGATCAAATCCCAAATTCAAAATTAGTCATTGCTTCTATATCATTGCTTGAATCTKCCCCCAATCATTTTACGTTCCAATGTATAAACCCTGCTGTAGTTCTATGAAAAAAATAATAATTTCCGAYCCCCCTGGTACTCGAACCCACGACCATTGTAATTTTACTACYGATACTCTACGATCTGAGCTACATGGCCAGACTAGGGCAGGACTGGGTGAAATGGATGTTAGGTTGCTGTGATTAGAATATTACAACCAATCAACTAGTCTACCAACCAATGCCCTRCTTGTAAATCATGAAAAACAATAAAGTGTTCAGTTAATAATATAAGAGTCAATACTTTTTATGCTATTGAAATGATTTCAAAGTTCTCATTTTTTTAAGATTTTTTTTTTGTTATTTCAGAGCGAATGCTGCTTCGTGCGTTTATCATCTCATAAACCGAAAACTCAAACGCTATCTYGAAAAACACCCGAGCACTGTCCGCATKCTACGACGCTCTAAATCGAGAGACGAYGARACTGATGCAGCTCCGAAGAAACAACGAATTGAAATCGAAATTGATTTTAGTAATCAAATCGAACCTGCCAACGAAGAGAGATCAAGAACAAGTTCACTGACGTCTCATGCCTTGAGGTCTGGGACGAGTTCCCAAGGCAGTCGGGGAATYAGAAATCGATCCGATTCATCTTCACAAGGAAGTCAAGGACCACGTGTTCGCCTTGCTAGTGACAGAGATGGAACCGAGCTGAAAGGTAAATCATCTTAATTTTTTCGCTTAAAAACCCTCATTCTTCAAGTATAAAAATTACTGAGTGTATAACGTGCTCATTTACCTTTTAGTTTTAACTAAAAATATCAAAAAAAGTATTTTCTTGGTTTGTCATGAGCTAAGTATCAGGGAAGCAATGGTGGCCGAGCGGTCACCTCTGTGGACCCTGCTGTTCGAATGACGATCTGGATGCCATGTGATTTCAGTTTCTTTCGTTCTCTCCCTTGCTTCGAGGTCTTTTCCGGTTTTTAAATTGCTATGTAAAGGAAGCGCCTAGCCGGCAGCACGTCTCTGTGTAATTGTATGTAAAATGTGTGCGACTTGAGAGCGCGTCGAGCTGCGTCTTTCGCAATTCAACACCCGTGCTGCGATGTTGGACCGTTAGCAACCTAAACTTTTTTCCCTTTGTTAATATGTTTGTTATTGTAATTCTTAGGATCAACTACCCTTCGCGGTGGGAGTGATCAGTATCTTGCTGTACCACATGATGACGCCGTCCAGAGGTCAGGTGACTTCAAACAGCTTTCCGTTGAAATCGATGACGACGAGCTCGACTGCGAAATCGAAGGGCACGAGCCAGCCAACAGGAAAATATCCACGACCTATGAATATCTCACGGACAAAAAACATCTACCGACCCTCCCCTCTCCCTTAACAATTCAAGAGCAACAACCAACGACGCTAATGATAGATGATAATAACAATGGTGATGACGTCAATGTTTTCTCAGATGAGGCATTAGCAAGTAATGACGTCATCGAGAAAACCGTAGTGAAGGATGATACTGGGACGTCGCCAAGGGTAGAAGAAATTGTGGCTGAAGAGTCTCATTTTGCATCGTCTGGTGGACATGAGGTAAGTAGCATTTTGTGAGACAGAGAATCCACAATGTTGGCAAGCAATTTACAATTCTTGTTCAAATTCACCACTTAAACAACTGGCCCGTCTGATGAAAATCCAAATCCAAATAGATAGTAAAAATTCAACAAACTGGAACANATGACGGTCTGGACGCCATGTGATTTCAGTTTCTTTCGTTCTCTTCCTTGCTTCGAGGTCTTTTTCGGTTTTTACGTTGCTATGTAAAGGAAGCGTCTAGCCGGCAGCACGTCTATGTGTGATTGTATGTAAAATGTGTGCGACTTGAGAGCGCGTCGAGCTGCGTCTTTCGCAATTCAGCACCCGTGCTGCGATTTTGGACCGTTAGCAACCTAAACTTTTTTCCCTTTGTTAATATGTTTGTTATTGTAATTCTTAGGATCAACTACCCTTCGTGGTGGGAGTGATCAGTATCTTGCTGTACCACATGATAACGCCGTCCAGAGGTCAGGTGACTTCAAACAGCTTTCCGTTGAAATCGATGACGACGAGCTCGACTGCGAAATCGAAGGTCACGACCCAGCCAACAGAAAAATATCCACGAACTATGAACATCTAACGGACAAAAAACATCTACCGACCCTCCCCTCTCCCTTAACAATTCAAGAGCAACAACCAACGACGCTAATGATAGATGATAATAACAATGGTGATGATGTCAATGTTTTCTCAGATGAGGCATTAGCAAGTAATGACGTTATCGAGAAAACCGTAGTGAAGGATGATACTGGGACGTCGTCAAGGGTAGAAGAAATTGTGGCTGAAGAGTCTCATTTGGCATCGTCCGGTGGACATGAAGTAAGTAGCATTTTGTGAGACAGAGAATCCACAATGTTGGCAAGCAATTTACAATGCTTGTTAAAATTCACCACTTAAACAACTGGCCCGTCTGATGAAAATCCAAATCCAAATAGCTAGTAAAAATAACAAACTGGAACACGGACTATATCCAACGTAACATAAAAAGATACTTAGTAAACTTGGAAAATCTCCATTTTGTTATTAATAGTCATCGGGTTGATCAGGAAAGAGATGAGATATTATGATATGATACCGTTTTGTACTTTGGCGTAAACGCAAAAATGTATTCGTACGTTAATGTAYATTCCCTTTTGCAGACTTCATTGAAAGCCAAAAGAAATAGTTCTCYACCATCACCACAAACAGGCAGTACAGAACAAGATGAMCCACCGTCCTTTACAAGACCTCGACGAGGCTCACTACCCAGTAGGACCTATCCTGTAACTCGTGACCCTAGTCCTATCCGAAAAGCAAAGCAACTCGACSCTGATACGACGCAAGTCAAKGAGGAACCATCCTATGGACTTGTGTGTCAAGTCGTCGAAAAGGATAACAGTGATGACGTGAATGAGGCTGGGCAGCTGATGCTTCGAAGTACCCTTAGTCCTTTATCCGTGCATTGTAGTCCTGGGCCAGCGCGGCGTTACTCCACTCCAGTTAATCCTATGAAAGAGTTTTATAAAGAAATATTAGGATTCAACGAAATATCCAACGATAGGTCTACTGATAAACAAGATAACGAGGGGGAAGCCAAAGGAASTCRATCGCTTTCAAAACCGTTTGGATCTCCAGTGATTTCACGACGAACTTCTACCTCTTCGATCTCAAGCGACGATAGGTCTTCAATACAGAAGAGTAACAAAATTCCTCTTCCTGTAACTCCTAGAGAACCGTTGTTACCCAACTTGGAACTGAAGCTGTTAACAAAGCATCCACCCATTGAACCAATACGNAAAATGTATTCGTACGTTAATGTATATTCCCTTTTGCAGACTTCATTGAAAGCCAAAAGAAATAGTTCTCCACCATCACCACAAACAGGCAGTACAGAACAAGATGAACCACCGTCCTTTACAAGACCTCGACGAGGCTCACTACCCAGTAGGACCTATCCTGTAACTCGTGACCCTAGTCCTATCCGAAAAGCAAAGCAACTCGACCCTGATACGACGCAAGTCAAGGAGGAACCATCCTATGGACTTGTGTGTCAAGTCGTCGAAAAGGATAACAGTGATGACGTGAATGAGGCTGGGCAGCTGATGCTTCGAAGTACCCTTAGTCCTTTATCCGTGCATTGTAGTCCTGGGCCAGCGCGGCGTTACTCCACTCCAGTTAATCCTATGAAAGAGTTTTATAAAGAAATATTAGGATTCAACGAAATATCCAACGATAGGTCTACTGATAAACAAGATAACGAGGGGGAAGCCAAAGGAASTCRATCGCTTTCAAAACCGTTTGGATCTCCAGTGATTTCACGACGAACTTCTACCTCTTCGATCTCAAGCGACGATAGGTCTTCAATACAGAAGAGTAACAAAATTCCTCTTCCTGTAACTCCTAGAGAACCGTTGTTACCCAACTTGGAACTGAAGCTGTTAACAAAGCATCCACCCATTGAACCAATACGYGTTAGTCCGATATCGCCGAGAAAGCTTAGCTTAGACAGCAAGACGAGGAGTGAAAGAGGAAAAGAGAGAAGATCACGTCGACGAAATACAATCATGAMCCCTCCCTTTCATGCACTAAACTCGGATGATTCGCGTGACATAGACAGTCAATCGCGTGATATTGCGACAGAATTTCACTCCAGAATTGAATCGAGCGATAAGTCGATCGATTCACGCGAGGCGAAACGCCACGAGAACGTCCGCAAACCAATTTGCAATGAAACCAAACCATCAATAGATATGCCCAATTTATTAAACCAAGACAGCTTGAAAGTACCACGTGACGAGTCACGTGACAGCGATTCTAGTACTGGTTCCCAAGAAAAACCCAGTGGAAGAAATAAAGTAAGAGCGCGAGTGACTATAAAGGAAAGACGGCARACAACTGAACTGGACACAAGAMACCATAACAACAGAATAAATTATCATGACAAGCAACCAAAGGATGCATTAGAACAACAGAACAAACTCCTGCATGACAAAACATCTGGATCWYGTAATGATTTGCTTGATAAGCATGCCGAAGGTAAACAAGTTTCGAAATCACGTCGTGGTGGTAAAGTAAAAGCACGAGTCACGATAAAAGATAGACGGCAAACCACAGAACTCGACACGCGAGCTACTCGTTGTATGCCTAAGATTCAGTTTAGAATCACTGATACTCATGACGTCACACACTCACGTGACRTCATCAAACATAAGACCCGTGTYCAGGAACTGAAGACGCTGGAGACATCGCCTGAGAGGCGGTCAAGTGTTCCTGAGACGTCACGYGACCAATATCGAGAGCAGAATGGGTGTCTTGTGCGCAGGTCTAGTGTACCTGTTCTCAACTCTGAAGACGATACAGTGAAACCAGCTCGTAATAGTTTATCGACTCAAGAACTTAAACAAAAACAAAGTTCAATGCACAGAACTCTTTCAGAAAGTAATGCTAGAGATCTTAAAGGAAATATTAATGATATGTATGACTTTGGGAACCCATGGTTAAAACATGACAAAACTATACAGAGAACAGTAGCGATGAGGGCAGAAATGGCGAGGAGAAGAGCTGATGGTGGAAAAAATCGTCCTTCACTAGAACGASCACGACGGCACACTGTATCGACAACTTCAYCAATCACCACAACTAGTAAACACAAGGTTATTAGCTCCCCGAGAACATTGAAAAAATCGTTAGTCTAAATTATATTTTCGATACAATTGAATGTATTTTAAAAGTATTTGAAATAAAAATAATATTAATAAATATTATAACAATTTTTAGAATTATGGACAATAATTGACATTTCCAARAGGAACAGCGGATCGTCAATAAGAACTTTATTGATTCATTCCAGAATTAAAAACTCAGAATGAAGCAAGATTTTTCATATTGATGGTAGCGTTCCGCTGAAACGTCAGTGTTTGTGCATAATCTTTATCTTTTGATATATCATTGTTAAAAAGAATGCATGTAGCATTTGAAATCGAGTAAAAATTCACTTTTACATCAATTGCTTTTTGTTCAATTACATCAATTTCTTTGAAAAGTCACCACAAATGGGGAGATGAWTCCTTAGTAGACGACGGGGTCCAACAATAAAAATCGATAATTTATCCAAATTAGAGAAAAATTGCGGGATTTAGATAAAAATAGAGCTCGTCAGCACTTTAAGATGGCTTTCATTTTAAGTCATGTGAAATTYCTCGATTCCGAAACCAGAAAAGCGCTCACAATGCCAACCAATCGAACTAATAATAATAGATGAAAAAGCTACATTCCAACAATTGTCATGGATCGTTGTCCTTAAAGTTTTTCTCATCACGTGATATTTATGATGATATGGCAGCGCTCCTGTTACAACAACCTAGAGTCACCAAACTTCCCCGSAGCGGCTAATAACGCCTGGCTACGCAAACTACAACGGATACAGCGACAGGCTCCAAGCACGCAAACTCCATTTTATTCAAACATAATGAGGATTATATATAAAATATGAGCGGGAGACCTTTATGAGCTGCAAGCGAGTAGCCCATAAAGGTCGGAGGCGATAATATTTTATATTGTTTATTAAATTCCAACATAAGCTAAATSATATTTTGCAACAAATTTCAGGATAAAATATCATTTTTAAGAGAAAAGTTTTGTTGTTGTTGTTTTATACTCATATAAAGATGCGGTCAAGGCAATGATTTTGCATTGTATTTACCTTATAAATTGTTAATGAATTTGATAAATCATCCATACAACCGAACTCCTAATATAGAGAACTCTAAACAATTCATTACGTCACTGACTTCATTTAAACAATATCGTAATTTCATCAAACTATTTTGAAGTGGATTTACAAGATGTTGTTAGAGGCAGAGATTGTTCAATACGTTGATGATACTCCTGCAAGTACCATTGGACTTGACGTGATGTGGGATAGTCGTRACTTGTCTGCTGCCAGAGCAAACCTTGATGTGACTCCCACCYGCTGCAACACACAAATTACATTTTCTGGCAAAGTTTTGGAGTTTGCTGGAATTGCAGTCAGCTGGGAATTTGAGCCTCTTCAACGCTCGTTTTGGCCTGGATTTTGATAMGGAAGAAACCAAGTTTTGCCACTGTTTGCTGAAGTCATTAGTTTGGCCTGGGATCATCAACTCCTCAACTTAGTGGGAAATAAAAAAAGAATGAATACGTTGTGTCTACTCGGCAAATCAAAATTACTTTAAATATATATGCAAGAACGTCAAAAACACACACACAAAAAAAAACAAATAATAAATAAATGAAATAAACATTCGTTTCGGTCAGAGAACATCTCGATACCATCCAGTTTGGTACACAATTTGGTGCTAGAATATTCTTAATTACAGCTTATCATAAGTAGGGTTCAAAAATGTTTAATAACGTTAATGTTGGATGTCTATTGCTAATAATTTGTTAATTAGCTCGAAATAAAATTAATTAGAAAAGAAAACTCATGGTATGAGTGACAGAGAATTCGTTTTAATTATACTACATGTCTTATAATTACTTTCACCAATTTTAAACAGGCAATGTCACGTTAAATATATGAAAATTCTACAGGCGTGCATGCAGGAAAATACTGAAAATGACCATCATCCTTTGCGCATAACTTGAGCTATCAATYCTTCTGTTTTGTTAAGTGACATTCTAAAAATGAGACTTATTTGTATGGGACTTATAGGTTCTTTAATGTGAATATTACCACTTCTCTTTCCAATCCTAGAGGCACATAGAGATTTGCAGGTACGTTCTCTCTTGCGTCTAGACTGGCGTCTTCTACATCCACACAACCACCATCCATCGACTTGAGCTGCCATAGTAGCTATCAACACCCAAAGCAACAGCAAAGCAGTTGTACGCATGTCTGTATTGATGAATGCCCCTGCTGTTGTAGACATAATTTAAAACTTATTTATTTCCTTCGTAATGGGAATTACATTTATAAAACTCATTGATAATTCGTTAACCATCGCATTAGTCTAATAAGGGTTGTCTATTTCGTCAGGTGATTGACCTTATAAATCTGATGCAACCCCAGTGAGACAACAAAACACTTATCAGCTTTCGTACTGCATCATGAACCTTCACTAGGGTTTTGAAGCAAAAAGCAAATGACAGCACTCATGCGACATGGCCTATATATTGTGGATAGACGCTATTATTCAATTAAAATGTGCTCTATCGCATTAAACGCGCATGCTTATAGTCGAGTTGCTATAGTTTGCGCTCGAGATTTCCAATCGGTGTTCAACAATCGTTAGTTAATAATCGCTCCTGTAACCTTTTTTTCAAACAAATGGCATTGTAAAGKGATTTTAGCGATTATTTAGCATGTCGTTGCCTTACCAAAATATCCAAGGGACAGCTTATGATATAAGTACAATTAGACTCACCTGAGGGTTGTTACTGTAAACAGCACTTGTTCATCAATTGATGTACTCTTAAGTAGTAAGTAATGTATGAGAGACACTTTATGACTCTATATTGATAAGAGAATTGCTGAGCCGAGTTTTAAAATCTGGTTTATACCTGTTTTAAAAGAATGGATGTTGTTCCAAKAACAAACGGAAGAAAATGCTTATTAAAAACAAGTAGACCTTGGAATGCATTTCCGATCATTTAAAATCCAGTTTTAAACCGGTTTTGGTTAGGTGGGTTCAACTTCCTCTTGCGCTGGATCACGTGTTCTCTTGACGAATGAGAGATTAGCCTCGTGACTATGGTTAATCATGACGTCCCTTTAGAAATTATTGATTTATATATTTCTACGAATCAAGATCAAAGCACAATTCATATCATCAATAATGTCGCCTACATAATCGGTTATTCAGATTCAAGTTTCATGTTCTTTTATAAAGTCACTGCACTAAATTTGGGTTGATTAAACCCTTCAGTGTCAGGGAATAAAATTTTTGAATTTTTCAATAGAAATTTCACTAAAACCAGTAAATATATTTTGACACTATGATAGTATGAAAATTTTCAAGCATAACAAGAAATGCAGCCAAACCTAACATTCAACAGCAACAGGTCTAGGCTCATAMTGATATGCGGATAACAAATTTATACCCATATGTTAACTCAGAAATGCTGTGTAAACTTCTTGATATAATAGTAACAAAAAGCTATTCGTGAGTAGATATTTTAATGTGTTTTATTTATCAAACATCTTCATTTGAGCAATCCTGGTTTTGYTCAGTTAGTGCAAAAATCAACGGCTAGCGCATGYMATTAGAATTTTGAAAGGTTAGTTGCGAAGAACTTTCCCTTTCATCGTTTTTGGTATGACAGTGTAATATCTTTTGACAGCAGGAAATTCTTGTAATCAATAGRAAAATATCTTCAGATCATGGTGTAACTTTACCTCTCTTGTGTCAACTTAAATTTTGTACAAATTCTATAACAATGAAACTCTAAAAATATGTATGCAAACAGATTTCCAAATGATATGAGGAGTTGCATAATCTTGAATCACCCATGCCAATTCCCGGGCAAGCAAACGTGACAAAAAAAATATCTATAAATTAGGGGATATCACTTTGGCTGAAGATTTTCTAAAATTACCTAAAATATTAGTGTGTTAAAGATAAAATATAGTCTCGAACTTCAACATTTTCAGTTGACTTTATTGTGTGACCTAATATCAGACCTTGAAACTCAGCAATCAAATGTTGTTATGAATCCAATCTTGTTACTTTTTTTAAATCTTTTATCAATTATTTTGTAGCTTGTTTCCTCGTGGCGTTTTTTCTCTTTTATCTATTTATTGATGTTGTTTTAATGTTGACAATAATGATAGCAAGAATCTCCATTTTCAAAAAAAATATCCTGAAGCTTTGGATCTCTTCCCGAAAAACCACTTATTTATGCGTGAATGCGATTATAACATTGATACTATATAACGCGTGCTTTGATTGGCCCTATTCTAAGCGTCATGCAGCTCTTATGCATGTACTGTTGTTTTAATTTTCGCGCCTAGCAGCCTTTGTGCGTGCATCTAATTAAGAAATATAAAACGGCGCGCGTGTCTCTGTGTCCTCTGATATAAACACGGTGGGAGTTCGGAAAACACGAGAGAAGCAAGCTTAGGAACACGAGCGTAGCGAGTGTTTCTCTTGCTTCTCGAGTGTTTTTCAACTCCCACCGTGTTCATATCAGAAGGCAGAGACACAAGCGGGCCGTTTTATATTTCTTTTATAAAATTTTTCGAGCGAAAAGAAAATTTTGCCGGTAAGCCGTATCTCTGTCCTCTGATATAAACACGGTCGTCAGCCAATCAGAGCACGCGTTATATATCAAACATTTTATAAAACTAGATATACGCGCGCTAACCATGAACCAATCCTCAGAACCAATCTTGAAGACATATGTCAAACAGAATATCAGAGATAAAACGCGAGCTCCTTTTTTTCGTTGACGTTCAGTATTCTCCAGTTATGCTGTGATGTACAATCGTGAGTACACTTCTTGACGATGCAAATTAATTCATTTGATCAGACGACACGCGACCTAGTGCAGTCAATCATCCACAGTTATTAAAAAMAGAAAGGAAATTAAGTAATCAAATAAATGAGTAAAAAAATACTAGAATCCATGACCTTTTGAAAATCACTTTAACATTTTCAAATGAAAGCCAGTGACATCGACAGTTTTTAGAAAAAAAAATGGATTGAGTCTGAGAGGAGTGAAAGTTACAGACAGCTTTTGACTTTAGTGAATAAAGTCGAAATAGCTTGACAGCTCTGTGATTGCATTTGAATTCAAAACGAAAGCACTCATGCCTTGACATTTCAAAGAATTTTACGAAAAGTTCACTCCATCCATAGCATCATTTTACTGATTTCCGCGATTGCTAAATAGGGYTTTTCTTTGGCGCACACAACGCACCCATAAATGTATTTACAGAYCATTGTGACGGCTCACGATTTTTCTAATTATGTGACTCAATGTAATATTTAAGTCGTGATTGATTAGAAACCAAGACGATTAGTTGTGACTGAATATTAGCGAGGTCCTAATGTCTTAAAAAGTGTGACTCTAGAAATCTCCATGTAGCTCAAGGAAACCTGTAAAAAATATTATAACGGTACCACGAAAACGCCCATATGACACAAAAAAACCGTATAATATAATCTAGAAACGCTTGTTTGAAGCAAAATAACAGTTTTTGTGACTAGAGCAAAAAGCAAACAAAAAACCTCGGCGTTCAAGATTTTAAGAAAAACGTATACTAAAATTTCATCAGCAAATAGAGACCGTAAAGCAAATCGTATAGGACACTAGAGATCCCTACGTCGTAGCTACCCATAGGAATTAGAGATGCGATGATCTAATTCATTAAATTGTTATTGTTATTGTTAATCTCGCTGCAATTTCAACTGGAATTATGGAACAGGATTATGGGGGGCGAAAATTTAGTTTATGACACATCATGTAATAAAGCATGCAGAGACGCCGATTCTTGCAATACATGGAATCACTGTGAATAAATTTAGAGCAAATGATCGATATCATTAAAACATCTGAATGCAACACGAAATAGATTGACTTTACAGATGATAACAGCAATTTTTTTTCATTTGCTCAGTCACGTGATCTTTTTCCGTTAATTATTCAAAGTTATGCCCCTTAAAAAAGAAGCAATTTTTAAATGAAATAATAAAAAGTAGAATCTATGATATTGCTGCAGTATTTCGAAATGTAAACCACAACCATCGATATTTTTGAGAATATAATGATTAGATACTGATTGTACGAGGAGTGAAAGCCGGTCGGACAGCTTATGRCTTCAGTGAAGAAGTCGAAATAGCTTGACAGCTCATTATCATCGTCTTCCAGGGATCTAATTATAAAGTTGACGTGYTATTATAGTGATATCATTTGAAAAAAAATATAAAACGAAAGCACTAATGACTTGACAACTTGAAGATTTACACGAAAAGTTCAGTCCATTATATCATTAGCATCATTTAATTTTTGCGTTGATTTTCGTATAGTGCGCGCTTTGAATTAGGTGGTCCTTTGGCGCAGACCTCTCTCTCTACTGACAGATCATTGTGACGGCTCGCGGTTATTCCAATGATTATGTGACGAAATGGTAATATATACAGTTAATGTCACCTACTGCCGAATACTTTGGTCTAGTGGCCTTYCGTATTCAAACATTTCCTTTCAAGAGAAATGAAATAGCGCGCGTCTGAAGGGCTAATTAATATGTTTATCACGAGATCGCGTCGCTACCAATAAAAACTGAAAAAAATGATTTATTATATGACGTCATAACTAATACTAAACAGCCCAGTTTAAGTGCGGTGTGAGTGTACAAAGGTGTATTCAACTCGAAGCCCGTGACAATGTATGTTCTCTTGGCTCTAAAAACCGGTAAGTTTTCTTCATGTCAGAGATGATGTTAACGGTATGGTGTGCACATCATCGATCTTATTCCTAAAACGCATTTTGGCATTATTGTAGTTCACTCATGGAATTAAACATCAATGCAAAACGTATTTTACGACGATTATTGGGACACCAGGAATAGGAACAAAAATCATTGATGTTGTTAATTATAACTAAAATGTATTTGTTCATTTGACTCCAATTGTAATTGATTTTTTTGTCCTCAGTGCTGGTTTTGTACCTGGTGAAAGATCACTACATAACTGCTACAAGTAAGAACCCTTTATTAGTGCTGTTTAGTCCAGTTAT